ATGTCGTCGTCGACACTGTCGGCGGTGACCACTCCGGCCACGTCTCCCATCGCCACTCCCACCACCAATAGGTCCACCAGACAAGTGATGGCCTCCAAGAGGGACAGCGGCGGCCAACAGACGCAGAGGAGGAGCTCTTCGCGTAGTATTAAACGCAAGAAGTTTGACGACGAAGTGGTCGAAAGCAGTATTACTTACCCTAAGATCCAGCGCTCGAGGACTCTGTCCACCACTACAGCGGTGAGCACTGGAGGCAAAGGAGGACCCGTCATGACAACCATCGCCAGTCCTCTGCCATTGACAGCTCCGGCACTGACGCCCACACCAGAGCCGGTGCTCAAGAAGTCGAAACCCGTGGCCACCGTATCGTCGAAGAGGAGGCGTTACCGAAACGCGCACAACAATGCCCTCAAAGACATCGGCCGATGGAAACCGAGCGACGATTTGGCGCTCGTTATAGCCGTACAGCAGACCAATGACTTGGAGTGTGTCTACCAGTCGGTGAAGTTCTCGTGTAAATTCACTCTACAAGACATTGAGGACCGATGGTATGCACTGCTATACGACGCGACCATCGCTAAGGTGGCGGTGGCGGCGATGAGACAATTGCATCCCGACGTCATAGCACAGGTCCACTCAAAGGCCATCTTCAGTGAAGCCGAAGAGAATGTCCTCAAGAGTGTGCTGTCGACGAGTCAGCCCTCTTCGGACACATTCGACCAGTTATTACTCAAACACTCGGATGTCTTCTTACCTCAAAGAACGGCTAAATCCTTGTCCACTCACTGGACTCTTCTCAAACACTATCACTTACTTCCCGATCAAACGGTTCATCCATTGCCACGACATGAAGAAGTGATCAACTTTTGCGACGCCGAAGAGATTATCGATAAGGAGTTGCAGCACCAGATGCCGGCCCTCTATGGCTCTAAAGACGAGGCCTTACAACAGGAACTGCTGTTCGGCGACCGCAAGACTAAGCGTGAGATTCGGTTACTGGAGAACGAGATCCCGAAATGGCAGGTATTGGTGGACAGTATCACAGGAGTGGCGCCGTCCGACTTCGACAACCAGACACTGGCGGTGTTGAGGGGCCGTCTCGTGCGCTATTTGATGCGATCGCGTGAAATCACTTTAGGCCGATGCACTAAAGACAGTGTCGTAGACGTGGACCTGTCTCTGGAAGGGCCGGCCTCTAAGATATCGCGCAAACAGGGGATCATAAAACTGCAGCCGAACGGGGACTTCATAATAGCCAATACAGGCAAACGTCCCTTTTATATAGACTCGAAGCCAGTGCTGGGCGCCGGCAGTTGTCTTAAAATCAACAACAACTCTGTCGTAGAGATCGCTGGACTGCGGTTCGTATTCCTCATAAACCAGGACCTGATCGCTGCGGTCAGGGCTGAGGCACTCAAGAATCAGATGTAATAGCAATGGAATTGTATTTTGAGAATAATTTTTTAAATTATGTAAAAATAAGTCAAAACATTATATAATTACATGAATACGTGAATCGATAACTCATTAAAGAAATGCATTTTTAATACTATATAATAATTATAATTAAATTAAAATAATTTACAATTTATTTACAAATAAGAGGACGAAACGGACTTAAGGGCGCGTCGGATGACATTCCAGTCCTCCATAATATCACTGTCTTTAAGCATATAAACAATATAAGGACCCGAAACGGTCACCGGCTTTCGACGCCTGTCCTGAAAGCTCATCGACTCCCGTGAAGACATGTCGTACCCATAGCCGCCAGCACTGCCGTACCGTTTCTTCTTCTTGGAGAAGGCGCTCTCACTCCAGATGTCGCTGTCGATGGAATTCCTGTCCTCTTCCAGACGCCGCAGCTTCTCTTCCACGTCCTGTCGGATGCTATCCTTAAGTAACTGTTTTTCGCTCTAAAATGCAAACCAATAGCCATTAGTTGATTCACACGACGTCGAGATGTCTCCTCAATGGTGTCTGACCTCAAAGTTCTGTTCGTTGGCCAACATCTCTGCCTCGAACTGACACTTAATGTTCGTGAGCTTCAGTTGACTCACGATTGCCGCCACTTCTGTGCGGACTCTCATGTTTTCCTGCAGCTCATCCAAAGGCTGCAGATATTCGGCAGCCCTTCCGGCCCTCACTTCTTCCAGTTTGTGCTCCACTTGAGACAGCCTTTCGACGTACAACTGGTCCTTCAGCGCCAGGAACTGCTTCTCCAGGTCTGTCATTTCGATCATATACTCGTCTTTCCGTCGGTCGCACTCCTCCTCATCGATGTCTGCATTCAGCCATACATTACAGTCACGTCTCAAACCATTCAACACATCATAACAAATGACAATCTCCTCAGACCTGAGCTCTCGTCGCCATCGGATCCGGACTGCGAGTCCGTCGAGGAGTCATCGTTGGTGTCGTCCTTCTCGCTGTCGAGCACTTCGCTGTCCATATGGTCTTTGAGGTGATCCGTGTCGATGGATGTGATGTGCATATCATTGCTTCCTATCATAAGATTTCTTTTGGCGTTCAATTCATTCAATTCACATGTAATGGTATTTGCGATCAACTTATTTGTCATCATTTTCTCACTCATGGCATACAAACCACTCGTTTATATCTGACAAACCATACAAAATGTCACTTTCTGTACAAATGCCACGGAAGTGCTGCAAGTGGTGCTAAATATCCATCAAATGTCACGAGAGTTTGCATTTGTTTCAGTCAAAAGTCGTTTCAATAAATTGTTTGTTTAGCAAAACCTCACAAACAAATCAATGCTTTCCATGGCTTTCAGTGTAGAGGTAGTGCTCACAGCACTCACACATAGGCAGCGCTTGCATGGCGTCCACAGCACTGGTCACTACTGCTATGGCTGTGCCCTATGGACGCAATGGCGCCTCAATTGACTTGACTTACAGCCAGTGAACAGTTTCACACAGTGTTCAACACACACTCACTCTCCGTCACACTCTCTGTCAGTCACTGCCATTCACTCAACTCTTGCACCCATTTGTCGCACATTTAGTGATTGTTGTGATCATTATATGACTGATTATATGATATAACATTGGATGCAGTCATCAGTGGTGACCAACACATCACGTGTTGTCATATAATAGACTGCATTATAATACTAGTCATGTAAACGTCCAGTGAATGCCATGTGTTCATCACTTTCTGTGCAATCCTCGAGTAATATCTCTTCGATGGTTATACTGAGTGTTGGGATCAAACTCTAAGACAATGGGTGCGAGAAGTCGGGCTCAAGAGCTGAATGAGTTGAAGCAAATTCTTCGTGCCTTAGTTGAGTCCTATGGCAATCACATTGCCATCAGATCTCTGTCCAGATTCTACAGACAGAGTGAAGGACATGATATACCATTGGGTCGATTCGGTGTCGACAATGAGTTTGAACTGATCCAAGAGATGGACGACACGTTTGGCATCGAAGTGTCGGACAAACACCGAGATTACAGCGATTATCTGGTCTATTGTCGATCCGATCCAAACACTCAGCATATCGTGGATCTTGTGGCCAATCAAAGACACGATGACAACGAAGACAAGGAACTGTTGACACCATTCCCTAAAGTGTTTAAATCCAAATCAAATGTCAAACAAAGAGCTTTCAGTCTTAACCCGTTTTCGTTGAAAGCGACCGACGCTTGTGTGGAGGAAACGGACGACACGGAGGAAATGGATATCGATTTGATTGAATCCATGAGAGCCAAGAACTGGAGGCCTCGACCCAAGAGCGCCCCTAAGAGGACACCCGTCTGTCCTCTGCCCGACTCGACAGTCATCTCCAACGACGAGAAGACTCGAATCCACTCTTTGTTGTCTCGACACAAATGCATCTATTTATCCAATTTTGCATTTCTCTACCGAAGTCTTCACGGCTGTGCCATTGATTTCAAGCGATTCGGTTCTCTTACTTTGGAGCAGTTCCTCAAACGAATGCCTCAATTCGTCCGATTAGATGCCACTCTCGACGGCTATATTGTCTCTTTGGTTCAACTCATCATTGGATCCGATGAACAAACAAACACTTGTCATGACACACAACACAATGGTTTGAATGGAAGCCATGAAACACATGACAAACACAATACTGTCACTACTGATGATAATGGGAATGCAAACCATTTGAACGATGGTTTGGTTGCAACGCAAGAATTTATTGGACACAAAGAAATTTCGAGATTTCGACAAATCCTGACCAGATATCCAAACGGAATTCTGCCGAAGGATTTCATTAAAGAATATTACAGAATATTCAAAGAACCCATAATTCCTGCAAAACTTGGCTACTGTTCAGTCATCGAGATGTTTGCGTCAATCACTCAACTCTTTTATCTTCAGAAACCAGCGAATGGTTCGCAGAATTGTGACGAATATCTACTGCTGAAGACTACTCCAGAACTGAGAGCACAAACCACTGCAACGTTTCCAAAGAGAAGAGCTTTTGATAAGAAGTTTAAAGAGCGGGCCTTAGATGTGATCGTTCGCGTCAATGGGTGTGATGACACAAATGCAGACCATTGTCTTTATGTCGATGAGTTTGCCGAAGCCTACGAACTCATGTTCAGTGAAGTCATTGAGCCGAATGTCTATGGCTTTAAGAACTTTAAGGATCTGTTGATGGCTTTGTGCCGCGAATGTGATATAGATATGAAGGAGAGGATGAAAAACAAACCATATTTAGTCTATAAGAAGAAGTTTTAATGTTTGTCTTTATAATGATCACCAATTATTTTATTGCAATTTTATTCTCATTCAGTCAATCAGTCAATGTTTATATGTTATTATATAATAATAAGGGATCACTCGATGGGGAGGGGGTCAGCAAAAGCTTCTGTTCCGAGAAGGCATCAATTTTTGACCAAATTTTCTCGTACGTCCTTAATGAGTGACCCCTCATTCAAATCTATTATTATTAATGCAATTAGTTTACTTAATTACGATTTCAATTTGAATTATTTTTATATAAAGTTATTTGTTCACAAATCAATGTATTAATTACCACTCATTTTGTTATCATTTTTTCTATTTTAAAAATCATTTGAATTTAATTTAAATTTCAATAAATTTTAGTTAGGTAACGTTATAGTGTTAAATTTATAAAGTGATAAGAAATGATTTAAAAATTGTTAATCAATCCCCAAGTACTTTGTAGTCAATAATCTGAACTATAATCATGTTTTTATTTGGTAACAAAATTTTAAAATAAAAGTGTTTATATAAAATTCATTTGCATTCATAAGAATAAATGAATGTCATATTTATAATTACAAACATTTATGGTTGACAGACACTCACAATAGTTTATATTGAGATTAGTTCTCAATGAACACCAAAAATACATTTATTTGTTTGCACACAATAATGGATATTCAATAACTTATTAATGAATCTTATAATACGATTAATCGCACATTTATCACAATTTTCTACAACAATAAATATAAAATATATAAAATTGTGGAATATATTGATAGATAATGGAAGACCAGGCTCACTTTAGGCACAATCGCACGACTCGACCACCATATTCGCCAAATTCTTCTGAAACACCACTCCTTTGTCGTCCAAATAAATCAATGAAATCTGTGGACAATTATTGGCATTTAATGTATGAATAGATAATTATATATTTGAGTCATTCATTACGTGTGACATTTCCCGTGGAGAACAACACAAACTAATCGCTGGGTATTTGCCTATCGATTCAAATAACATGACATTTAATATTTCAATAATAGGAATATTGCCATCAAATGTACAAACCGATGACAGTGGTGTGGTGGTAACGGGCATTGCTTATATCACACTTCCCTATTCATTCATATTTAAATAAATACAGAATCTGTAATATAATATACGGAATTCAATAGTGATGATTACCTCTACAATAATTGGCGTTATAACCAATGGGTTGCAAAATCCAATTGTCCCAACCTTACAAATTGAGAGTATTTTCTAATTATTATTTATTTTCAAACAATTTTGATGCATGCTATTTAATACCAATTGTAGTGAAGTTAACGTAAAAACTTTCCCTACAGCACGATGATGAATTTGCCGTACAATCAATACTCCGTCGACTTCTTACGACCTGTAATTTAAATGCAAATTTTCATTTACATTCATATTGTTATCACTTAAATACTAAACTTATCATTTAAGCCTATTAAGTTATAAGTTTAAGAATATTAGGTAATAGTATGATTGTTTTAATTTATTATCAATAACTATATTAACTTGATTTCCAAATATCATAATAAAAACAATGGTAAATGTTTAATTACATTTACCAAATTAGCCTTGAGAACAAATTTGAATAATTATTTTCATATTTTTGTCAAATATTCCTATTCTTTAAGTTTTTCAATAAATTCGTGATAAGTTTCCTAATGGAGAGCTGGCTTCAATCTCATTTAAATATCTATTTGATTGAAACACAAATATATTTTGAAACCTTTAAGATTTATGTATTAATAAATTTCATATAAATAGTAAAGTGTTTGGATTCAAAATTCAATGTCAAAATAACCGGAAAACTGGTTTTAGACGTAAATCTAAACATTTAATTTAATTTATGTTATACTGTATTAATATTTAAAAATTATTAATAATAATCTTTAAGCAAATGTTAATTTAATTTTTATTATTAGATCTTAGAAAACACTGTTCAGAATATTAACAAAATTTTTGAAAATTATAACTTTTTATTACTGTTGTTTTGAAAATAATGTTAAAATTAAATTCCCGAATCTAGAAGTTTTTAATTAAAATTAGACAACTCCTACTTTGAAAATCGACAACATTATACTCATTTATATCTAAATCTTATACTTTGGACGTCATTTAAAGATTAGCTAATTTTGCATATAATTAACATTTTAATTACTGGTAAATCCAAAATGTTGTAAACATGTGTTGAACATGTGGGACTTATATTGCTATCAATTCTCAAATCACATTTGTATTTAATTCACGTATTTAAACAATTAACATTATGAAAACATTTGAGAATATTCTGCAAACACTGTATCTAATAAAGAAATGAAATGACATTGAATTTTGTCTCACATTTCACAGAATCTAGTGATAGGAATAAGAATATAAAATATAGATTTCTATTAATGAATTAAAGCAAAACTAAAACTAAATGATAAACTTTATTGTAAATAATAGTATTTTGCTTCTTAATATTGTAACCAGATACTGTATTTAGATGATTGATATACGTTTGATTAGTAATAAATTATATAATAGGAAATGATTTCGTTATCTTAAGTATTCAAAAATAGATACAGTATTCATTAAAATGAGTATTTACAGTATTAAAATTATTATATTAAAAACATAACTAATGTAAAATTAATTGAGTTTCTAATCAAAATAAAAAAATATTGATCATTTAGAGGCAAATGATTAGATAATGACAATCTTATTAAAAATAAAATATTAAGTCAATTAATTAAAAATTAGCTTTTAGATAATATAGAAATGAAACCTTCAAAAAGTTTCATTACAAATCTATTATCGGTGTTTTAAAAGCAATATTAATATACAAATTAATAATGCATAAAATTGTATTTTAATACAAATAAATTTTAGTATTTTGCCTTATTTCATGCAAATAAATCACATAATATGTTAACAATTAGATTATTTTTTATATTAAACATGAGAAAAATAAAAATAATTAGCTAATATATTTGATTATATTTTTAGATTTCTAATTTAATCATACAAAGTGAATGTTTACGGCATAATTGTGTATAGGATACAAATAAACCCTATTAAATTTACATACTAGCCTATTAATAAACATTCTGCAAATATTTTTATCA